AAGCACTGAAGCTTGTAATGTTAGTATTTTAGTCAGAGTCCACATTCTCACATTATCTGTTACTATTTGGGTTTCATGTTTAGTTCTACCCTAATACTGTGTTAGTTAAAATTTCAAAGCTGGGTTTTATAGCCACTTCTTCCCTTTTTTTTGTGTAGGTGGCCTAGACAGTTCTAAGTTTGATGCACTTTTATCCTGTTGGTAGCACACTTATTACAGAGTATTATAACTGTCTGCTACAGTCTATCTGGGGAGATGGGTGATCTCTTTTAAGGACAGGGACTGTATTTTATTTCCCATTCCTACTGTCCAGGGTGGTCTCAAACTCGTGGCCTCAAATGATCCTCCTGCCTCAGCCTCCTGAGTAGCTGGGATTATAAGCATCAGCCATTGTGCATGGCCAACGTTTGTTGATTGTTGAGTATTTTTTGAGAAAGCTGTGTCAGTTTATACTACAGTTTGTTTTCCCTTCCTCATTCCCATTCCTTTCAGGTCACAGCATATGGAATTTATTTTTTCTTTTCTTGATCTCTGGAATTTGTATTGTTAATTTTAGTATGTTTAGTTTATGAACATGCATTTTGTGGATGTCTGTGGCGTTATATGTTTTATAAAATTTAAAGTGTCTCATTCTTTGAAAGGATGCCAGAGATATTAGTGCCTAGCTAATGGGATCAAGTGAAGTTATTTTGTCATCCTTTTCCTCTGTCACTCCCAAGTGCTATGGGTCATCATCTCTTCACAGGTGATTGCCATGGATCTACTCTCCAGAGTGGAGAGGAGCTGTGGTTAACTTACTTGCTAAAGACCAAAACTGTCTGGAAGGGAGGGTGCATTTTACTACCATTTCTTTTAACCTCTGCTCCTTCTAGACCTGGAAAGTTTCCCAGGGTTGCTAGCTCTATAGAGAGCAGTGTGAAAGCAAGGCAGATGGTGTCTTTGGCTGACTTATAACCTGTCTGTCAGGGGTGACATGCCTCAGTCATGAACATTTTGTTTTACAATTTCAACTTCTTGTTAGTGTATATATTCTTCTTAATTTTTCTTTATCTCTAAATATCTTTATATCAAATAGTAAATTTATAAAATTCTCTCAAGACTTTAGGTATGACCTGGCTTGTGGACCATGGTAAGTAAGTGCAAAGTTAAACTACAATAACTGGAAAATAGGCCCAGCATAGTGGCTCACGCTTGTAATACCAGCACTTTGGGATGCTGAGGCAGGTGGATCACCTGAGGTCAGGAGTTTGAGACCAGCCTGGCCAAAATGGTTTAACCCCATCTCTACTATACAAAATATTAGCCAGGTATGGTGGTGGGTGCCTGTTACTTGGGAGGCTACTTGGGAGGCTACCCTGAAGGCTGAGGCAGGAGAATTGCTTGAACCCAGGAGGCAGAGGTTGCAGTGAGCCAAGATCATGCCACTGCACTCCAGCCTGGGTGACAGAGAGACATTGCGTCGCAAAAACACCACCACCACCAACAACAACAAAAAACTGGAAAATAAAGATTAATTAAAACTGAAGGAAAATTCGCAACCTGAAATGAAAAAAAACCTTGGCTGATGTAATCTAAGTGTATGCCAAGATTTGTTCATAATGATCTTTTAATACAAAACTATTTTGGGCCAGGTGCAGTGGCTCACACCTGCAATCCCAGCACTTTGAGAGGCTGAGGTGGGCCAGTCACCGGGGTCAGGAGTTAGAGACCAGCCTGACCAACATGGTGAAACCCTGTCTACTAAAAATACAAAAATTACCTGGGCATGTGCTTCATGCCTGTAATCCCAGCTACTTGAGAGGCTGAGGCAGGAGAATTGCTTGAATCCGGGTGGCAGAGGTTGCAGTGAGCTGAGTTACGCCATTGTACTCCAGCCTGGGCAATATAATGAAACTTGGTCTCAAAAAAAAAAAAAAAGCTATTTTGTTTTATTCAATCACTATTTTCAAAGTACTGAAACATTATATTACCTCTCTATTTAAAATATAGAATCACCAGTCAGGAACTTCTTAGAGTTCAAAGAAGCAAGACCATAAACATGTAGACCCCAGAAGGGAGGCACTATCACAGCATTCTCCCATGTGGTGTAAAAGCCCCAGGGTAAGAGGGCTGTAAATCCGCTCCGGGAGCCCATCTCCAGCCTGCACTGAAGTGGCCACCTTTTGACAGTCAAGAGGAACAGGGCTGGGGGAGCAAGCCATGCCTGAGCCACATTTCCTGTAGTCCTGGGCATGCTTTATTCTCCCTCCAGGGCTTTCTCCTGTTGTTTCAAAAATACTCTAATTGGGGATATCTCTGTCTTGAGGTCAGTTGCTTTATCTTTAAGGATTTGTTATGATAGTAACCAAACAGGAAGACAATTGCGAATTAATAATATTACTGACAGGTCTTTTCCTGGTAATTCATTTTTATGGGTAATCCAGATTTTGCTTGGCAGACCATCCACGGTGCGTTCTTCCTACTCTTTTACAGTGTCATGGCTGGCTTCTGGCCACCCTGTTCTCTTTTACCTAGCAGGGCCTAGGCCAGCTCACCTATGCTTTTTTTTTTGTTTATGATTTCTATCCAATAAAATAGATTTATGGTTTGTTTATGAATCCTTTGGTGTTTCCTTTCTGTCTCTTTAATGAATTCAGTTTATTTGGAAACAGTTTTTTTAGCCTTTAGGTAAACTTGGTGTATAAATAGACCATCTTTATTTCTGAATTTGACAATGTATATTAATGGAATCTTCTGTATCTGTAGGGTGTGGAATTCTTCGATGAGAAGCTGAATTCTTTATGTATGGCTTGGCTCGTGGACCATGGTGAGTAGATAAAAACAAATAATTGAAATCCCGTATATCCATGATGTTCATTTCCTTCTAGAAAGGAATCTCAGTCTGACCAGATATTTTGACTTAATATTATAGGAATGAAGAAAGGCTCTAAAGTAGTCTTCTGAATATAAATTTGATATTTCTACCAATTTTTTTGTATCTTAGATTTTATTTTCTCCATTAAATAATTTATTTGCATTATTTCTTAATCTATTACATTAAAAGAAATCAGACCATTTCTTTTATATATCTACGTACTCCTCCCGTATCTGAGGATCCTCTTTTTGACCATCCTGTAATTGGTGTCTTCAGCAGCTGTACACTAGATTGGACAGAGACGAATCAGATAAAAGGCCTAGGTGGGAGAAATGGCCACTTGGCTTTTTTGAGGTGACATAGAAGAGGAGATACACAGTGAGACAGCAGAGGAGTCTTAGGTGTGGGAAACATTAGCTTTGCCATAGGAATAGAGAGGGCCTGGATTTCTGGTTTTGGTGAAAGGAAGCCTTACTGATTGTGCCCTCACTGCTGCTACAATGCTAGGAGAGGGTGAGCTCGGGCAGGTCAGATAGGACAGCAGGAATGAGCAGGTGACTTCCTGGTGAGGCTTCAGGTAGAGGTATATGCATGTATCCCCTTGTGTGCCAAGCAGCAGTGGGTGAGAGATGTACCCTCTGTGCCGGGTCTCAGGTCTAGACTTGACAGCTTCAGTGTTGCCTTAGACCTGTTCTGATAAGTGTAAGTGACCCCAGGGGCTCATGCGACATTGCCCTTGAGCTTTGGTTCCTTGTTTTGGTGGATATGAAAGGTATCCTGATTCAGTTTCACAGTATCTTTTATGTACTTTACATATGTATTGAGTGTATCTCTTTGTTCATCTGTGGATGCTTAATGCTTGGAAATTTGAGAGGAATGAGGATATTTGTGTCTGCGTATACATGTAGGTGGTTTTGTTAAAGGCATATTTGCATCATATGGAGGATCACATGGTTAAGAGTGTGAAGAGGAAGGATGTGAAAAAATAGGGGAAAATCTATAAGGGCTTATATATGTGGGTATTTCCAGTGTTTTCTTTTTTTTTTTTTTTTTTTTTGACAGAGTTTCACTCATGTTACCCAGGCTGGAGTGCAATGGCGCGATCTCGGCTCACCGCAACCTCTGCTTCCTGGGTTCAG